ATGACTGGTCTACGTTCAAGAAGTAAAATGAGGCAAACCAAACTGATGATTTTATTGCGGAATGTACAGTCAGAATAGTTCTGAAAAGAACCAATGACTTTGGGGTGTCTGTCTAGATGTTAGTTAGCTTTTGAACTGACATTCGTTTTAGATGTTGTAGCGGCGTACCGTGCTGCGCTGCAGGGACGAAGGCTTTCATCTTCAGTGTCCTAGGGATTTAATTGTCACGTTGAGATGATAACGCATTGGTCTTTGATGAACACGTTTAATGTGACAAATCACTTCTAGCGGTAGACTCAAATTTTACACTGATTTTGATTTGCCAGTCCATTTGGACGTTCGGTCGAATTGACGGTCGTCGCTTTGAGGATCATTTCAGGGTCAGTGACCGCGCCACCTGAATGTTGGAATTTCTGGCGACCGTGAGAGATCGGTTGTCATCGTTGCCAAATCGAAAATCAGAATTCACAACCGTCGCATTCCCTGGATCAGTTTATTAAACTCATTATAAACAGACAGCGTTTTCAGCCTGTTGTAAATGTACCTTTTAAATCTTGCCCCCCCCCTGTTCAGCTCTATCCAGAATGTTTTTATTTGGCAGTTTATGATACAGGTGAACTGCACTTGCGATGTAGTTGATGAAATTATGAAATGCATGGCGAAATTGTAGGCGCTAATGCCGTGAAGGCGTTGAGAGTGTTGTTTCCTGATAGAAAGTGGAATTTCGTTGAAGTGACCGTGGATCGTGCAGAACTGATGCTTAACAGAAACGAACACATCAAGCATTCGCTGAAGCCGATGGTTTCAGTGATCGATGACAGCATCGGTTGTGCACTTTGGTTTGCTGCCAGGGGTCGAGGTACGGTGAACGGTAAGAAGTACATCTCCCCCGCGAAGTATGTATACATCGGAATGGGATCTGACGAGCTGTTGGCTGGCTACTCGAGACATCGGCAGGTTTTCAGAACCGGCGGTTGGAAGGCGCTTGCCCAGCAGCTGAAAATCGAGTTGTCCCGTATGTGGGAAAGGAATTCGGGACGTGACGATCGCGTCTTTTTCGACAACTGTCGCGTCAGCCTCTTGCCTTACGTAGATGAGGATTTCGTTGCTGCCGTAAACCAGCTGCCTATCTGGGTAAAAGCTGATCTGAGGTACAAACGAGGAATCGGCGAGAAGATCATTTTGCGGGCGGCGCTGTGGAAGCTCGGATTTGGTTCGTTGGCCTTTGGCAACAAAATAGCGATCCAGTTCGGATCAAGGATAGCCAAATTTGAGAAAAGATCCGAAAAAGGCAGCGACATATGCGACCGTCTGCTTTGATAGAAATGCATAATACGAAGGTCATGAACAAAAAGCATTGACTTTTCTGCTGCAGGTATGCGATTTCATGTATGCTAATAAAGTACGTGTTACAAAACCTGGGTGCCGCTATGGAAAAGTCATATCAAGTTTTTAAGATGTGACATTTCGTTCGTACCTTGGTAATCATACTTAAAAAACGGCTGATTAATATGTTGTAGGACTCTACACCATACGACGTTTTGCCCCGTATATCACGGCTCTTTTGCGTGGCAAATCAGCTGATTGTTCGGACCATCATGCCATATGCGTTGTCGTTTTGCATATATTGGAACAGTTTTATAGTAGTCTTGTAATTCACTCCGTAAAATCGAAAACATCGCAAATCGTTTAGCCTGTTCATAGAGGAAGAGATGGGGAAACCTTAAGAAAAGCCGGATATGAGCAGCCTCATTTTTGAATAGCATCTTGGCTTAGTGGTGCAGTGTCTGAGAGATCGGTTTC